CCCCCCCTCCCCCAATTAAGTCCCCCTCCCTAGTCAGCCCAAAGAGCAATCAGTGTTCCCTGCCCTGTGGGAAGTCCAAGGACCATCCAGGTCTAGTAAGGTGAGCATCCAAACTGCCTAGGCTCAAATAAGGAAAGTTCTCTTCACAGTTCACAGTCCTTTTAAAGGGCTCTTTCGCTTTACCTTCTTTTCCACCAGGTGGCGATGTGAGCTTCTCTCAGCTAAGCAGGGTCTAACATCTTTTCCACTGTGGAGAACTCTGGCAATGGTCCTGGGTGGCTTCTGTCCTTGCTCTTAGGGACGCATAATCTACCTCCTGGGGAGATGGCATCAGATAATGGTGTTCATTTAGGAAGGAGAAGGAGGTTTTTTGTTTGTTTGTTTGTTTTTTGTTTTCTGTAAATGGCAGGCACTAAATAGCTTCTACCAGGCAGCCTCACTATATCTGCCCCACATCAAATACTCAGGTCTGCATTCCGTGTGACAGCAGCAGAAGGGAACACGCTGATGAATGGGACAGCAGATGTGTCCTCTGTCCCCAGATTAGGGCATATCCATGTCTCATCCCCACCGGGTGTCATCAAATGCACTGCCAAAGCTGCATGCTGCCCAGACAGCAGAGGGTTTTATGCTCCCTGTGATGTCTGGGATATCTAGAAAGGACATGAAGAGGTCCTGCCTTTAGGACCTCTTGATCTCTCCTTTGCTGTCCAGTGCACTCCTTAGATCCCATGACCATAGAGAGCACTGCTTGATACCCCAGGTGCTTGCTGAGGGAGAGGTGGCAGCTTCCTTGAGAACTAACCTCAGTCTCTTCCTCTAGATGAGATAAGATTTCCACAGTCATCTGGGGAACAGGAGGTGTTCTGTCAGACCAGAGATCTGTCCCACCCTGCTAGGCAGTTTTCAACACACAAGTGGTCTATTGTATCCCTGCAGCGATGTCTCTCTCTGGATGTCTTATCTGACTGTGACCTGTCCACCTAATAAACTAGTGGGAAAGAGCTCACCTCATGGTGTCTGCCTGAGGTCTGATGGGTCTTCTCATAGACCAGGACCACAGATCACTCTCTTTCAAGGCCCAGGACCATGCCAGGAGACACAATGAAATGGAGTGTATTTTCCTTCTACAGTGGGGTAGACTGACTTCTGCCCAAGCAAGGCGATTCTCCAATTAGACACCACCATGAACTCCACCCAGGGCGATTTCCTAGGACTGACACCTCAGACTGACAGACCGTCCTGGTCAGAGGGTCCTAGAGGCAGGTCCAGCCCTGCTCTTCATGCATATGTTGTCTCTGCTGCTTTCAAGCTCCAAGAACAGAGCTGAGCAGGTGTAACAGAGACCGTCTGTCCCGTGAAGACTTTAGTACTGATACAGTAGCTGTATTAATTATTTTCCTGTTCTGTGATAAACACCAAGGCCACCGTCACACAGAAGGAAGGGTTTTGGGATCTTAGAGTTTCAGAGGACAAGAGGTCTTCACCTCACAGCAAAGAGGCATGACAACTGGGGTGCATGGTGCCTGGAGCAGCAAGTGTAGAGCCCACATTTTAGTTTAGTTTGTGTTTTTGAGATAAGGTCTCCCTTTATAGTCTGGCTGTCCTAGAACTCACTATGGAGAGCAGGATGGACACAAACTCATAAAGTTCTGCCTCCAAGTGCTGGCATGAGAGACATGTGATACCATGCCCTTCTGAGAGCCTACATCTTAAATGTCAAGCAAGGTCCATACTTGAAGAATTGGGAATAGGTTTTAAAGCCACACTCCCAGTGACATACATCCTTCAGTCAGCCTTACCTCCTAAACAAATCCCAACAGCTGCCACCAACTGGGGACCAAGTGTTCAAATTTCTACTCTATAGAGGACAGGCTCATTCAAATCACCACACCAGCCATTCACAGGAGCATCTGGGGCTTCATCCCTGAGTGACAGGGCAGTAATGACAGAGTGCAGAAAGAACGACTGTACTTGCTGCTGGGCTGAATTGTCTCTCTGCTTGGGATTTGATTGGTCCTCCTGGGAAGGCAATCTGGGCCTGTGTTTGAGGCGGTTTAGTTTTAATTGTTGTTTTAGATTTATTTTGTTTTGCTTGCATGTATGTACAGGCATTATGTATGTGCCTGGTGCCTTTGGAGGACAAAAGAGAACATTTGATTCCTGGAAGTGGAATTACAGGCAGTGGTGAGCCACCATGTGTGGTTGTTGAGACTCAAACCTGGATCCTCTGCAAAAACAAGTGCCCTTGACCATGGCACCACCTCTCTAGCCCCAATGGTTCAGTTTAAACAACGGGCACAAAAGTCAGGGTTTTCATGCGGCGGCCGTTTTCAGTGTCTTGATCATCTGTTTGGTGTTTATTTATTCATATCCAGCCAAATCTGCATTGGCTAACCATTTCCTATATTTAAGATTTTTATGCCCCCCTTAAGTTATTAGGCTTCAAGGTGGGTCCCCTTACTCATCAGTGACCGACTGTCCTTGATGTTACTGCCTCCTGACCACTCCACCTGATAGGACTTTTCTGTACCATATTACCTGGGATTCAGTGATACTGTTTCCTATACCCCCCAATCCTTGAGCTATCATCATCCCTGAGCTTCCAGCAATGCTGGTGCCCTTCTCCCTGGTCCTTCTCACTGTGCTTCTCAGCAGGGATGCTCCAGCATCCACAGACAGCATGGACTCTGCACTTTTCCCCTGGAAATGTTTGCTGTTCCATCCACCCTGGCACATGCACTTCTCTGAGATTGTTGATCCCCACTCTTCTACTGCCAGATTTGACCAGCCTGGATTTTCTGTGTCTTACAGTGTGGGCATGGTGATCCTTTAACCAGGTCCAGGAAGCCATCCTTGGACCACTGCAGTATGTCCAGGGGATCTGGCGTGTGTTGTTCTGGTTTCATTCTGTTGCTGTAATAAACACTGTACCAAATGCAACTTAAGGGAGAAACGTAATCTTGCTCAGTGTTCTATTGCTGTGAAGAGACACAATGACCATGGCAACTCTTATAAAAGAAAGCATTTAATTGGGGCTTGATTACAGTTTTAGAGGTTTAGTCCATTATCCTCATGATGAGAAGCATGGCGGTACCTAGGCAGATATGGTAGCTGAGAGTTCTACATCCAGATCCAAAGGCAACAATCTGGAGTTGGGATGGGTTTTCTAAAATGTCAAAACCCACCCCTAATGACACACTTGCTCCAATAAGGCCATACCTACTCACACCAGGCCACACTCCTAATCCCTCTTAGAAATTGCCACTCCCTGATGATGAAGCATTCAAATACATGAGCCTATGGGGGGCATTCTTATTCAAACCACCACAACCATGGTTTGTGTAGTTTTTAACCCTGGGCATCTGCCAAGGCCTGTGCCCTTCTCCTTGGACATGCTTTCTATGCTTGGCAAATAAGAGTCACCCATGCTTCTCCATGGACAGAGTGGACATATTTCATATCACATATCCTTTGACACATGTACTGAGTCTTTACACATGCCCTTCACTTTTAGCTTTAGAAGTTCTGGACTTCCTGTTTCATGCAGTATGCCCCAGCCTCTGCAAGCCACTCCTGGAGCACATGGGCATTGTCTCCAGAAAATCCTGGCTGTTTGCTGACTACTAAAAGTTAATGTGTCCAAACATGGGGAGAGAGCTGAGTGGTAGAAGGCCTGCTTCACAACCATGAGGACTTGGGTTTGATCCCTAGTGACCCTGTAATAGAGTCAGGTGTGATGCTGTGTGCTTTTCCTGTCAATACTAAAAAAGCGGAGGCAGGAGAACCCTGGAGTCAGTGGCATGACTGTCTAGCCTGCTCGGTGAATCCCAAGGCTTTTTGAGACCTTGTTTAGTCAATGCTACTGTGACACAGTCCTAAGAAAGTATAAAAATGTTTTTCTTCTCAAATCTGAAACTGTGAGTTTAAATACTTCCTTCTAAGACTTGGATGGTATTACATTAATAATGCTTTCTTTCAATCACCTTCATAAATCCCTGTTTCTGCTTTAGTAAAACAGTTTCCTCTCATCAAACTTCTAACAGGATTTTTCTTATGGACAGCTGATGCATATTGTATCTGATCCACCAAGCTGCCGAGATTGTGGCCTTTGGTTCACAACCACAAAGCCAGTTTTTGGCTCACAAGGGCTCACGTTCATGTCCACCAATCTTCCAGCAGGGGTACTGAGTGAGAAAGATTCCAGTCATTAAAGAACAAATTTAAGCCTTAGGAGTGGGAGGAAGGAGAAAGTTGGGGGAAACCACAGTGATGGAAGAAACGGGTGGCAGAAGAGGCAGAGAGGAGAAGGAAGAGGAAGTTGGTTGAAGGGACAGGAGAGGATGTCCCAAAACAGCCCACCTTAAAGCAAAAGCTTTGGGATGAGAGAAGGGAAGGAGGGTTTTCTTTTGTAACATTTCTGCATTTTTTACTATAATTATATGGCAAACTTGTTAAAACTTCCTTTAAAATTATAATTTTAGATTTCAAGTCTGCACACACACAGAAGAGTATTTATGTCCATGCCCCACTAGGTCTTTCCTACTTGTTTGTGCAGTCTGATGAACAGAACAGCTCTAGGATATTGTGTCTTCTCTTTTTGTTAGTCTGGGAGACCAGGGGCCATAAGTGTGCTGGGAAACAACTGCCTGAGGAAGAGGAGACAATCAGGGCTTCGAGATGGTCAGACAGAGATCTCTTCTGAAGAATGAGTTAGGGGTGTGGTTTAACAAGGGGGTATCTGGCATCTGATGTCCATCATTGCTGTGTGAAGTGGCCCAGTGGGAACACGGTGAGTACTGTGCTCACAGGTGGCAGCTCCCCTCCCATGACAAGTTGCAGCATAGTCCAGGACGCCTTTCCTGAACTCCAGGCTCCATGTTGAATTTACCATGTGTTCTATGAGGGCTCCTTTCTCTGTGTGGTCAGTAGATTTTCAGTCTCAGGAATAGATATTATCTGGTGTATTTTATTCCTCAACACTTGATAAAAGTCACTAAATGTACTTGTGAGATAAATCCCCCTGGTGATATGTTGTGCATCTGAGGGGTCCTACCACTCTAAGACAGTCAAAGACGGCACGGAAATATGGATGCAGAAGCTGAGTGACATCTTGACTAAAGGCTTCTCTTCCTACCCCTTTTGTCCTTCAGAGGGATTCTGGGTGTCACAGAACCATGAGTCCTGTGGCTTCTGCTCCCTCTTTGTTCCTCACCTACATGTTTCTCTCACAGATAAACACTCTGTTACTTGTGACGGCATTGTCAAGGCTGATACCACATCTGGGCAGACCTGGTGTGAAGGGCAGTGCTCAGTGGATGGAGAGCCTTTACTTCAATATAATGATAGCAAATTCGTACCTTTGGGAGACCTGGGAAATTCAGCCAATGGGACTAAAGTATGGACAGATATGATCCAAAAGCTGGAATACTTGTGGAAAGAGCTCAGGACGATGTTGGCTCACACTAAAAAAGAGATTACCAAGATTAATGGTAAGTGTGGGATCAAGTACTGGGGCATAGACAGGTGGCAAGAGAGAGGAAGGGCAGAGCACATGTGGGAATGGGATGGTGAGTGTGTCTGTGTGAGGGAGCTGAGCACTGGTCCAACCTTGGAAGCATGTGGTACCCAGTGGGTAACAAAGGACAAGTCATGTGGAAATGATGCTGGCTCATAAGCCAGTGGAAAAGTCCTGACCTTTGGAGAAGTGATGGATCTATGAGAGTGAAGCATGATGGTATTGTGTGTGGTTCACAGGTCAGCCCACTTTACAGGTCACCATGCTTTCTCAGTATGAACACGGACAAATTGTTGGTGCCTCCTGGACATTTAACATCAGTGGAAAGTACTCCTTCATCTTCAACATAATGAATGGGAATTGTACACTGATTGATGGTGAAACTGATGTTATCATGAAGACATGGAAGAATGATGAACTATTCATAAAAGATCTCAAGATAATCTCCACAGTAGATTTCAGGGACTGGCTCAAGAAACTCTTAAAGCACCAGAAGGAAAAGCCAAGTAGGTATTACCTAGATCATCAGGGGGCAACTCCATTCCATTTGATAGACTGGGTGGGAGATTTCTTGGTGATCTTTCTGTCTGAGATCCAGTGATGACAACAAGGACAAAAGGGGAAGGAAACTCTTTGCAGATGAGGTGTATGAGGCGTGTATGTGTGTGTAATAATTTAATCACCATGCATTCCTGGGTTGATGGCAATTTTTTGCATCATTCATTTTATTTCTCACCCTCTTCTTTTTATTTATTTATTTACTTTTTATTTATTTTACAGCCCGACTGCATTTTCCCCTCCTTCCTCTCCTCCCATTCCCTCTCCCTCACCCCTGTGCCCCCAGTCTACTGTTTCTTTTTTTTTAATTTATTTATTTATTTATTAAAGATTTCTGTCTCTTCCCCACCGCCGCCTCCCCTTTCCCTCCCCCTCCCCCAATCTAGTCTCCCTCCCTCGTCAGCCCAAAAAGCAATCAGGGTTCTCTGCCCTGTGGGAAGTCCAAGGACCACCCACCTCCATCCAGGTCTAGTAAGGTGAGCATACACGAAACTGCCTAGGCTCCCACGAAACCAATAGGTCCAGTAGAATCAAAAACCCGTTGCCATTGTTCTTGAGGTCTCAGTAGTCCTCCTTGTCCGCTATGTTCAGCGAGACCGGTTTTGACCCAGGTTTTTTCAGACCCAGGCCAGCTGGCCTTGGTGAGTTCCTGATAGAACATCCCCATTGTCTCAGTGTATGGGTGCACCCCTCGCGGTCCTGAGTTCCTTGCTTGTGCTCTCTCTCCTCCTGCTCCTGATTTGGACCTTGAGATTTCTGTCCGGTGCTCCAATGTTCTCACCCTCTTCTATCTCATTAATTGTTCTCATTGTGGTTCTCACTGATCATTACAGTCTGAGCATCTTGTATTTCCTGACCTTTCCCCCATTATAGGCTCACTGTTGATTTTCATCTCACCTGATCTGTCTTCTTCCCTGGCACCATCTTCACAGGTGAGCTTCTCTCCTGCCAGAGGAAAGATGAGGCCCCATCATAACCTTGCTTCCCCGACCATAGTTCCATGAGTCTTTGAGGACAGAGGACATGCTTCCTCTCCCTTCCAAATCAGGATCCACCTAAACAGGTGTTTCATAGCAACAGGGGTGGAACTCTGTGTGTCACTGAATTGCATGAGCACCAAGAAACTAAAGTGGAATCTCCTTAGATCTGAGGTCTGGTCAAAGAATCAACTGTGTTTCCACTTCACCCTTGCCAGCTGCTGCTCCAGATGTGGTCCAGCCTTCGTCCATAGCCATCAAGACCAACATCTCTGTCCTGCTGATAATTCTCACGTGCTTGCTCCTGAGTCTGCTTCTCTGAAGAGAATACTTGGTAATTACAGTTACTGAGGGCAGTGTTGGGAGTGCGGTAAGAAACAGGTGGGTGAGGAGCAAGGACAAAATCCCTGAAGTCCTGATCTTGTCCCTCAACTGTATCATCTTGTTGAGAAGGAGGCAGGATACCTGAAGTTCATGTTACCTACTAGCAATAACATGTGCATGTTCTTCACAGGACTGGAATCATGCCACAGACCAGTTGGGAATGAGGAAGGAACACAGCAGGTGTTTGATCAGAGCAGGTTCCTAATCAGGAGGGTCCTGTGATGCAGATGTGCACACAGCAGGAACACAAAAGAACACGCTAGTTTCACTTAGGGTGTAAAGGGAAGAGCATTCCATCTTTCAGACAAAAATAAAGAGATATAAAAAGATGACCCAGTGGCAAGACCACCTGCTGCTCATGCATCAGACCAGAATTATATTCCCAGAACCTACAAGGTAGTTCATGACTATACGACTCTAGGTCCAGGAGAACCTTCCCTTTCTTCTTCACAGAGCCCAGGTATTCACACAGTGCACATACAGACATGCAGGCTCACATTCATACACACAAAATAGAATTGAATCAAGCAGCAGCAGCCTCTAGTACCCCTGGAGCAATGTCCCCATTGGAGAGGAGGGACTGAGACGCTGATGGGGTCTACCTCTCCCATCTGAGCTGTGCAGATGGACAAGGTGGGGCAGGGACAGTCACATCCACACCTGTGTGTGATACACTGAGGCTGAGAAATTTTGGAGAAGAAAGTTGGATAGAGGTCCTCCCCTACTCTTCCAACTGCTCCCATCAGGCCCTGAGTCAGGAAACAGAGCTAGTCACCACCACTTTATTCTCATCTCCAGGTCTGCAGCAGGGTCTGGGGCTCTGGGACTTGGGAAAGAAAGAGGAAGATAGTAGGGGATCCCGGATGGAGAGCCCAGGGGTGATGGAGGAGGGAACTGAATGACCCTCAGTGAGGGTGGCTGTGGGGTGGTGATGACTGGTACAGGGCACCCAGGAGAACTGACCCAAGCTTTCCTCAGACCCTTCCATAGATGTGTTTCCTTGCTGCAGGTTGAAGATGCTCCAGAGAAGATGCACCAGAGTTCATCTGGTGCCACCACTCTCCCTTTCCATCAGCCTCCACCAGATGAATCATGATGCTGCGGACACAGCATTTCATGGTCTTCACTCTGTGTAGTTGCTTGGGCCCTTTCTTATCACCTTGTAATCTTGGTGCTCCCTGGTGGAATTTGCCCCTAACATGGAACTACTTGAACTAGAGATGTGGTTATGTACCCATTCCTAGCATAGGAAACAGGGTAACCAGATCTCCTTAGCAGGAATGTGTAGTTTCACTCCTGTGTGTATAACTGACCAGTATCTAGGTCAGACAGACTAGGAGGACTCCCACCCTCCCTAAGATAGTTGGCTGGGAGTTAAATACTGTTAGTAATTGATTTTGTAATAGATATATATTATAGCCAATCCTATACTATGCAGCCTTTTTTAGAACAAAATAAGAAATGTATCTGTTATTTTACTATAACTATATTTGATACAAAGTGATACTACATAAATGAAAAGATAATATTTTAAGGTATTATTGCTATTATATGTTAGTTTCTGTGACATGCACTAGGTCCAGCAATGGCCACATGCACACTGGGGACAGAGAACCCGGAAGCTGCTCAGTCCGACAGGCTGGCTGTCCCTGCACTGACAATCTGGCAGTGAAAGGCAGAAGGTCCTGGGAGCTGGTGCTGCTGGGTCCACATCCTTCTGGTGCAGGTCTAGGTCAGCGCTGCTCTCCACTGTGTCAGAGAAGCTTCTTCTGCACATCCAGACCTGGGATGGAAGGAGAGTGAACTCACACTGGTTTCCTCTGACTACACAGGGACACTCTGCACAAGCACTTACACACACATGACACACACACAGTGACAACATAAGAACCCTAAAGTATGGAGAGTTCACTGTTGAAAACAATATTTTTTTGAGGTACGACCTAACTACATAGTACAGCCCGGAATGGAACTCACTTTATAGACCAGGCTGATGTGGAAACTCAGAGATCCACCTGGCCCTACATCCCCAGCACTGGGCTTAAAGGTGTGTGCATCACACCTGACTGATTCTTGGATTTTGAGCTCTTATGTTGTGTTACTAAAGTATCATTAATGTAAGATGCACTATTTCTCCCTAATTAATTTGTAACTATAGTGGCATTAAGTAGATTGGCCATATTCAGATATCTCAGGCATCACTAAAGGAAACCTGTAACAACTAATCCTAAGAAAGAGAATATGAGGTCTAGTTGTTTAATAGAAGTCACTGGTAATATCTGTCCTTTATTTTCATTACTGGAAGCCATCTGATTACTGACTTGGCATCTATAAATGTCATTTTTCTACTCAGATGTCTATGAACTTTCTTCTAGTGATTGCCTTGCAGAGGGTCATGTTTCTACAAATGTGTGCATGGCTGCATTGTATGACGTTTACATAAAAATTTTCAAAGAATTTTCTGGCAATTATTTTACTTCTCAAGGTTTGTGGCAATGTGTATTTCATTTGTGATAAAGTAACTGTAATATTCTCTTTGTTCTTTGTCAATCTGTAAAAGTCCTGTCAAAATCAAGATACTTTTTGTAGGGTCTGGGGAGGGGGGGGTGAAGTGTATTGATATTTTGTTTGTGTTTTAACAAGTGAAGCATGCCTGAAGATCAGAGTGCAGAACTAAGCCACTAAGAGGCCAAGGAGTTGGCATACACCTTTTAATCTCGGGAGATTAAGAAGAGAGGCAAAGGATCTCTGTTAGTTCAAGGCTACCCTGGGCTACACGAGACTGAATCTGTCTAAAAGAGTAAAAAGTTGACCCCAGAACTTGGGATCACATGCCTTTAATCCCAGCACGAGGGAGGTAGAGAACAGAATGACTTGGCTGGGTGGAAAGAGGAATAGAAGGCGGGAGGAGATAGGAGCCCCAGTGCAGTCTGAGGAGCAGTGCAGTCTAGGACAGTAAGTCTGAAGCGGTCTGAGGATGCAACCTGAGGACGGGATCACCCATTTGGTCTGAACACTGGTAGAGATAAGAACTCTCTAGTGGCTGCCCCTTTGCTTCTCTGATCTTCAGCATTAACACCTATATATGACTCTGTTTTTATTATTAATACCAATTTGAATTCATATTACATCTGGCACCCAGATGTTTGGGGTATGAATTCATGAAACAGTCATTAGTTTATGGCTTTGCAGCCACATGCGTAGGCCAGAGCTCTATGCAGTCAGAGCCATCACCGTACCAGCTAGCTTTTTCTCTTTCTCTCTTCTGATGGACTTTCCCTGGAGCCATTCTCGGGCTGCTACCAAACCAGGTAGCTGCCTTGAAATCCAGTCAGGTTTCAAACTGTTCTGTGCAGCAGCAGTGAGCCTCACATCTTCATCATCATCGTCAGCAGATGGGTGAGAAAACTGGGAATTCTTCAAGAGAGGAATTAGTTAAAAGACAGAGTTTTCCCACATGAAAATATGGGACAATAGAGAAATTAGGTATCTGTATGATTACACAATGCATGATTTAAAAATGGAGCAATTAAATGAAGGGATAATCAACTTAATCGGGATTGGCATACTGTAAATTATCATTTTGATAATCCTTGCTATCGCTTTAATAATTTTTGGTTAATGTCTTAAAAAGTTGTTTGTGAAAAAAGATGCTTGGTTTGACTACCAAACTACAAGCCTTAGAAAAACTTAATTCAAGTGTGACGGGAGCAGGAGCAGATCTAGGCAGGGACATTTGCTGTGAAGCATGACTGGGCCAGCGACATAGGCTAGAGCAGGCCTGAGGTGGTGAGCTCCACGGGAAGAGGTAGCAGATCCAGATCAAGGAGATTTGCATAGGCAGGACTGAGCAAGCAACCTGGGCTGCAGCAGACCTGGGACAGGTAACTCCACAGGTGCAGGTACAGGGGAGAAACCACTGAGCCACTGGGCCAGAGCCAGAGACCACTGCGGGTCCTGGCATGAATCTGGGACCTTCGAAGGAATAGACCTGAGCCAGGACCTTTGCGGGTCTGGGCATGAGTCTGGAACCTCCAAGGAACTAGGCCTGAGCAAAGACCTCTGTGGGTCTGGCTTGAGTCTAGGATCTCTGATGGAGTAGACCTGAGCCAGGTCCACACCCAAGTCTGGGACTAAAAACAGGGCATTCCCAGAACAATGTTTTTTTTCTAAGTATAATTCAAATCAAATAGAATATGCCTCCCTTCTGGATTATGCAGAAGGTGCCAAATGCAGGCATTGACCAGCCAAGGAAGATTCAAGGTAACCCTTTGCCATCAGGGAAACTCCTTAAGGAGTCTTCTCAAAGGCCTTTCTGCCAAATCCAGTTCAGTAATTTACTGTAACCACAGAAGAAACTCTTTCCTAGAGCAATTGAAGAATGTAATACCTATTGCAAGAAGCCATACTGTTGTGGATAATAGAACATCTATAGAAGAGAGTAGAAAATAATTCAGGAGATACAACAAAGCAAATATTTTAGCAAACTTGTATGAATGAACAAAGACCAAAATTAAAAAGACAAATGACTTTGTCACTGAATGTCTGGTAGACATGGGTATGATATAACAATAATTGCACTAGAATCTTAGCATCCAAACTGGCATATTCAAAAGCTAAAAGTTCATCTTTTAAGGATTGGAACTTTATCTCAGGTAAAGCAGAGCATGAGATATGTTGAATGTATAGGGTCAGGAGGATAGAGAGGAAAATTAAAACCATATGTGGCTAACATAGCAATGACGTGATTTGTTACAGCAATGGAATATTCAGAGTAGCATTCCCTCAATCTGAAAAACAAACATAAAATAACATATGTCCTTGGGAAAAATTTTAGAAGGTATCATAAAGAACAGTTACCAACCATTCAGGTTGTCAAGAACAGGGCACAACAGCTGCTGATCTTCCAAAGGCATCAATGGTCCTACCTTCAAAATAGTTGACAGACAAACCTGTATGGGCTGTACAATGGCAGTTAACAACAGACAAACTGTAGGCTTTAAATCAGGTGGTACATGAACAACAGAAGGACCAGAATATTGAAGAATCAACCAGCACTTAGAATTCTCCTATATTTGTTGTTAAAAAGAAATCTGTAAAATGGAGATTGGTGACAGATCTAAGAGCTGTCAACAAGGTAATTCAAAATGGACCCTCTACAGTCTAAAATGCCTTTACCTTCTCTATTGCCTGAAGGAAGGCCTCTTATAGTCATTGATATTAAAGCTTGTTTCTTCACTATACCTTTACAAGAAAAAGACAGAGAGAAATTTGCTTTTACAGTGCCCACTTATAATATCCTCAGCCTACTAAGAGATATCAATCTTCCACAGGAAATGTTAAATAGGTCCATCCTGTGCCAATATTCTGTACAGCAGACGTTGGAAATGATATGGAAACAATTTCCTCTAGTTCAGCATTACATGAACAGCAATTTGCTCTCTGATTCTAATACAGATACTTTGAAAAGAATGTTCGAAGAATCAAAAGATACTTTGAAAAGAATGTTTGAAGAAGCAAAGAATATTTTTGCCTTCTTGTTGATTACAAATTGTTCCTGAAAAATACAAAGAGGAGATTTTATTTGGAATCTTGATTTTACTGATAGCCATGTTATGACCTAAAACTGTGTCTTTCTTTGTGGCTTACATTACAGTGACTGAAGACTTTAGCAAGATGCTTTGGGTATAATTTATTTTAAAAGTTTCTGTTATAGCTGGAGTGATGGCTCAATGATTAAGAGCTTACTTTTCTTGCAGAAGCTCCAGGTTCTGTTCCCAGCACCTACTAGTATACTCCAGGTTCTGTTCCCAGCACCTACTAGTATCCCACAACCATCTGTAATTCCAGGTCCAATGGATCTCATGCCTTATCTGGCCTCCAATGGCATCAAGCACACATGGAATGCAGAAACATACATGCAGACAAAACATTCATACACATAACGTAAAAATAAATCTCAAAAAACCTTCCACAAAGTTTCAAGTATAAGACTAGAATGATGTCTCGGAGGCAAAGGCACTGGCCATGAAATCCTTACGATCTGGGGTGGACTCAGGCAGTCATAGTGGAAGGAGAGAACTGAATTCCCATGGTGTCCTCTTGCCTTCACAGGGATGCCAGGGCACGTTACAGTTGATTAGGGGGCACATGCTTGTAATCCCAGTGTATGGGAAGTAGGAGCAGAAGGACCAGAAGATCAAGGCCATCCTTGATCCAGGAACCAGATTACATACAATGATTGACAGGCTTTCTTCACATGACTCAGGAAAGGTGAAATTATCCCTTCAGTTTCAATCCTCTCATGTATCTCTGTCTGCCTGTCTGTCCATCTGCCAGAGGTAAGTTTTTGTTTGATTGTTTGTTTTTCTTTTTGGCATAGAGCAGACAGGCACACAGGTTGGCCAGTTCTGATGGTGCAGCACCCATCTAGAGCAGTGAGCTCTGACATGCTCTTTCCACACACTCAGAAAATGTGTTTTCAACATTTATCTAGCTCATGTACTGAGTCAGACCTAAAAAAATGAGGCTTCCCACTCATGTGGATTGCCTACATCGATGCAATTTTTAAATCGGCGAGTTCATTGCTGAATCTCAAAGATGAATGGGCATCAGAGGCTGTGTACTCATCTCTTAGGTCTGCTAGAATTTGTAGACAAAACGTGCTGTGTGCTGACCCAATTAAGGTTCTCCTGATGACCTGGGATCATGATATATTGGGATTTGTTGTATAAACAATAAACAAACTATGGCTAGGCTGGAGAGACAGCTCAGTGATGACGGGTACTCATGTTCAATAACAAACACCCATACGGGGCTCACAACCACCTGTAACTCCAGTTCCACAGAGTCTGACAACCTCTTTTGATGTCCATGGACAACTGGCATGTACATGGTACACACATACATATATTTATGGGGAAAAACATTCATATACATAAAGTAATAACAATTTAAAAAATACTTCTATGAATGTCTCTCCTGAGCTAAATAACATAGTCTGAAGATATTGCTTTCTTGTGTGCAAATGTTATTTACTCAAAACAGACATTAAAACTAGCTTTATGAAAACAAATCTGCCATACACAAGTGAACGAATGGTTTAAGGGAAATGTAAAATAATAAATGCCTACAGGAAAAGTCAGTAAGGCTTCCAGGACACAATCTTCATTTACACCCTAAAAATAAATTCGCAGCAAAGTAACCTCTGGAGAGCAGAAGACAGAAAATGAGAAAGAAAAGATAAGAATCTACAAAAATAGAAAATATAAATACACTAGAAAAAGTTGGTGAGGGAGAAAACAACTCAATGAAGACAATGGTTCCTTCACCCCAGGGGCTCCCTGTCATCTGTTGGACACCAGTGGACAGGAGTTCTCAATGACTCTCAAGACAATAAATGTGGTGCTCCAAATGAAGAGAAAAAAGGGCAAAAGTTTCATGATCCCTTCAACAAATGCAAAAAAAGGTATCAAAACACAACACACGGCCATGTGGCCTGGGCAGGTAGGAGACAACCACAGGGCAGCCTTGCACCATGTAAGCAAATGGATAGAACTAGGAAAAAGAAACAACAAAGGTAACCCAGACCCTGAAAGACAAACAAAATATATATTTACTTATAAGTGGATAAACATCAATTTTTTAAAAAAAGAGCTGTAAGAGACTAGCCATCCCCATTCTCAAAAGCAGCCTAGGAATTGCTCCAGTCAGGACATATGAAACCATAGAAGAGCTGTCAGGGCTGCACAGCGGGAAAGTCCTGTCTTTGGGGAACAGAAAATCAACTTGAAAAGCACCTTCTTCACTACTGTCTTGCTGTCACCAGATACCGGGAGCATGGCAGTCCTTTTAAGAGGATGCGTTTTTAATGGGGCTTGTTACAGTTTAAGAGGTTTACTCTAATGTTACCATGTCAGAGAGCATGGTGGCAGGCAGGCATGTGCTGGACATGCAGCTGAGAGCCACATCTTATTCCACAGGCAGAGAGAGCAAGTCTAGGTCAGGCATGGGCTTTTGAAACCTCAATGCCCATCCTCAGTGATACACTTCCCCCAACAGGGCCACACGACCTAATCCTTCTAATCCAACAGACTGTTCCATTCCCTGGTGACTAAGCATCCAAATACATGAGCCTATGAGGGCCATTCTTATTGAAAACACTATAAAGGGAGACAATGTCTTATATCCAGTATAGGAAAAGGAACTGAAGGAATTGCCTGCCTCCCTCCCTCCCTTCTTCCTTCCTTTGTTTCTTCTCTTGATTTTCGAGACAGGATTTCCCAATGTAACAGTTCTAGCTGTCCCTGAACTCGCTTTGTAGACCAGGTTAGCCTCTAACACAGAGAGAATTGCCTGCCATTGCTTCCCAAGTGCTGTGATTAAAGGAGTGAGCCACCACTGCCTGGCAGAAATTCCCTTTCTGGAGAAGACTGATATCATCATTAGTACAGAGGTATAAATAAAGAACCAGTGATTAAAACCCCAACTATACTTCCATGATCACATTTTGCTATTTGTATAGAACTGGAAACAGGGATTCCACTAGAGAGACAACTTCAGTCTAGAAATAGTCTATGCAAACTGACTGAAGGACAAAGGTCTCTAATAAATTCTAAAAGCTGAGTTCTCCTTTAGGACATCAAGGGAACAGGAGGTGAGAGGTTTTTTGCATCATTGAACTCAGAAAGCTGAGAGTCTTGACTACTGAGGAGCATCTCAGGGTAAGTAAGCAGAGACCAAAGATGCAGAGCAAACTCACAAGCAGTCATGAGCAAGATGGTAAAAACACTTGCCCGATAGCATGATGTTTCTTGTCAACACGACACAATGCTGAAATCATCTGAGAGGAGGGAACCCCTATGATAAAATGCCTTCAGAGATCAGAATATTGGGCTGTGGGCAAGGTTGGAAAGCATTTCTTAATGAGAGAGTGGTGTGGGAGGGCCCAGCCCATTGTGGGTGTTTCCACCTAGGCATGTCCTCCTGAGCACTGAAAGAAAGCAGGCTGAGCAAGCCATGAAGATCAAGACTATAAGCTGTACTTTTCCAAGGCCTCTGCATCAGCTGCTCCCTCCAGGTTCCTGCCCTGCTTGAGTTTCAGCCTTGGCTTCCCTCAATGGACGGTGACTGGGCATACAGAAGCCAAATAGACCCATTCCTCATCAGGCTGTTTTGGTCATGGTATATCATCACTGCAATAGAAACCCTAACTAAGACACCAGACAACTGGGTTCGATCCCCAGAACCCACTGAGGGGGATTAGGTCTCACTGGAAGAGGAAACATATCTGTAAGAGGCTCAAAAGAACAGAGCAGTAGAGATTCTGTGGACAGAGCATCTTAACTCTGGACAGATGGATCCACAGTGGCAGACCTTGAAGCTTGACTGCTGATGGACTTGTGAGAGCTTGACAGGGCCCAATTTGGACAGATTCTAGTGGCCTTTTGTGTTATAATTTATTTTAAAATGGTAAGAAAATGTCACGCCATACAATAGGATTTGTAGTAAAGTTTTATTGGAAGAGGAGGAAAAGAGGGCAGAAAAATGAATAGAGAAGGGAGCAGAGAGGGAGGCGGAGACTGTTGCGTGGAGACAAAGTAGCAGAAGAGAAAGGAGACAGAAGGTTGGCTCGGCCTGCCTTTTATAAGTGAAAGTATTGGATGTGCACATGGGCTGCTCGTGGAGAAACAGATGATGACACAGATCCCATGAGTGGGGCAGGTAAGGAAGATCCAAGGGTCTGCAATTCCTAGCATCCAGCTGTTCAGACAGGATCAATTAAGAAGGTGCAAGCTGTTCAGTGAGTAGTGACACACAGAGCAGGGGCCAGGGTTGAGTCTGAGAGACACCTGGATTGCCTGGTACCAAGACTTGTCTGGGAAGCAAGAAGACACATTTGAGAGAGAATTCTCACACGTGAGAAATGGCCATGGGTAGAGAAGTGGGGGGAACTCACCAATCATGTTAGGGTTGGACAGAGGGACCCAGGGATCCATTAGTTGGAGAAGCAAGGCTGTCTGTCAGATTTGGACCCGGTTCCTTGTGTCGGAGTGCCTCCGACTGCCAACGGGCTGGAGGAAGCCCTAGCAGGCCTGCCTAATCTTGAACAACCAAAGTTATAATTCAATTGAAAATGGTGGGAAGTAGTCACCCCATACATGAGGGCTTGCTAAGAAGGTTTATTAGAAGAGGACAGAGAGGGGGCAAAAAGAGGGACAGAGACAGGAGGAAAGACG